GGGAACTTTTTTCAGGTTGGAAGTTACCATATGCCCTCCCTCCCCCGAACTGGACTCACTCCCACCCACGCTGCGCCGCCATCGCTGCCAATGATTCTTTAGTCTTCCCGCGGGCCGGTCAGTTCAAAGCTCCGGGTCCCGCTCCCCCGGAGGACAGCCAATTAGCGTGCGCTGTAGCCGCTCAGGCCCGCCCCCCAGCGAGAGGGGGAGCTAATCAGAGGGCGCGCTGGGGGTTGCTGGCTTGTATACGGAGCCAATGAACGGGCGCGGTGACAGCTCCGCTCCCTTCCTCAGCAAGGCACAGAAGTCAATCAGAGAGGGGTCCGCCCTCCCTGCGGTGCTATTGGACAACGGGAATCCCTAATCTCGCAAGAGGACGGCTGGGAGCCAAGGAACGCAACCCTACGCCCAGCCTCTACCCCTTCCGGGAATGCTGGCGTCCGTCGCCCAGCCTCCAGGTTAAGGGAGTGGGCGGGACTTGGCCCCGGCCTCCGGGATCTGATTGGACAGGAGAGGTGCCAACAGGGACGTCAGCAGCGCGGAGGTTTCCGCGGACGGAGCTGGATGGGCCGATGCCAGGCTCCTTCCTCCGAGCCAGTGACCCTGTGGCTTGAGCGTCACCGCAGGCTAGCGGACACGGGACGGAGGCGTCCGGTTCCCAGGCCCGCCTCCCTTCCGGGGAACCCGGGCGTCCTGGCTCCCACCCCCTCCCAGAGAACCCAGGTGTCCTTCGTGGATTGGTCTGGTGGGCGGTGAGCGGGGCCTGGGAGTTTGAGCAGGCGGGGCTGGGACCCCGGGCAACTGGGTTCCATCTCCGGAGGGAGGAAGGGAGAGTGTGTGTGGGGCTTCCCCAGATGGAATCCAGGCGTCCGGGCTCCTGCCCCCCCTTCCCTCAGCCCTAGCCCCCCCTTCCCTCCCAGAGAACCCAGGCGTCTGGGCTTCTCCCTGGGGGAGGAGGGGAGATCTCGGCCCACTACCTTTGCCTCCTCTCCCAGAATGAGAACAGAACCCAGGCATCCGGCCCACAATCAACCACCCTGCTGTCTCCCTTCTATAGCTGGGGAAAGAACCCAGGTATCCAGCCTCCCATGTGTTTGGTAGGTGGTTGTGGCTGAGGATGCTCCCTGGCCCTGGCTCAGAAAGGGTTAAAGGGGAGGTGTGGGGAGGAGAAATGCTGATTGGGCAGTAGGGAAGGGTTTGAATGTGGACCTCCTCACAGAGGTGGAGGGGGGGATCCCTGGGGGTGGGCATAGACACCAGACACTTGGGTTCTCTTCAGAGGGGCTGGCTGGGAACCGGGATGCCTGGGTTCTGTGTGGGGGTGGGTGACCCTCATGGCCTATGGTTTCCACTGGAATGTCTCTGGGCTTCCAGCCAGCCTATATGGCCCCCTCACATGCATCCTTCTGAGGCTGGGATGGGGGAGCAGAAGTATTATAATCCAGTGTTCCCCCTCCTCTGCCCCAGAGCTGTTGTGTTTTATACTCAGCCCCCCCCCCCCCCCCCCCCCCGGC